ATGTGGTAGTTCTTCATGTCTTCTAGAACTGAAATATAAGGGAGGACATTTTCTTTCTTGAAGGATTTTTCTCTTTCCTTCTACTTCTGGTTCTGGCCATCATAAAGAAAACTGAGTATGACTATCTATTCATTCATGGTTCTTTCACTAACAAGAAAATATTCTCCCAACAGAAAGGTTTAATTTCAGCAGCAAATATCTTCAAAATGACCCTAATTGAGGTCCAATTTGGTCTCAATTTGGCTTCAAATCAAGCAATGGACATACCACAATATTGGCTCTGGAAAATTCTAGCACTACAAGACCCAGTTTTGTTTAAACATTCATTCCTATGGATAGGAGATTGTTTTACCTTCTCAGATATATTTCCAGATTGACTTATTGCAAGGTTACTTCAGGATAACTACTCAAAGGTAGATTTGATGGCAGCTCATCTTTGTCCCATGTGGTTCTCACCAACTCGTCTTCATTTTTTTAGGACAATCATTTCTTTTTTTTCTTTTTTCAGTTTTATCACAAGGATATTTAACAAAAAGTTCTCAACACTGGAAAAGATGTGCTAAGTATTAAACTGTAACAAAAGGTGCCTACTTACTTATTATCATGATTATTTAGACCTATTATTTTTAAAGCAGTTGATGTTTGACGAACAGGTGCTTTGATGTACTTAATTATTGTTTTACATGGTTTTTTTGGTAATCTCATCAAATGAATATTTCTTATTCTAAATACTTCCCTCTCTAGGTAATCTATTTTATTTCTTAGCATTTTAGAGAATTTATTTTCTTTTTCCTTTTTACCTCTTTACCCCCTTCATCCATTTCTTCCACCCCCTGCCTCTGGCAACCACCAATCTGTTCTCTGTATCCATGATTTTTTATTTTGTTTAAGATTCCACATATAAGAGAGATCATATGGTATTTGTCTTTCTGTCTCTAACTCATTTTAGTGAAATGCCCTCAAGGTCCATCCATGTTCTTGCAAATGGCAAGATTTCATCCTTTTTAATGGCTGAATAATATTCCATTGTATATATACGCCACAATTTCCATTCATCCATCAATGGACATTTAGGTTGTTTCCATGTCTTGGCTATTGCAAATAATGCTGCAATGAACATGGGGGTGCATATGTCTTTTTGAGTTAGTGTTTTCATTTTCTTTGGATAAAAACCCAGAAGTAGAATTGCTGGTGCATACAGTTCTATTTTTAATTTTTTGAGGAACCTCCATACTATTTTCCATAGTGGATGCACCAGTTTACATTACCATCAACAAGTGCACAAGGGTTCTCTTTGCTCCATTTCCTCGCCAAAACTTATTTCTTGTCTTTTTGATAATAGCCATTCTAACATGTGTGAAGTGATATTTCATTGTTTTTGATTTGCAAAACCCTAGTGTGATTTGAGTTGCCTTGTCTTATACCCTACTTCATCTCATATACAGAAAGAAGAAAATTCCAGAAGGTGCATATTAGTTGTTCTTTGAAGGATATATATACAGCTCCATTCTGTTAGTTTCTTTGGCTTTTACAGAGTGCTGGTGGCTCCAATACTCTTGGCTAAATATTTGACAAAAAGTACACTATGGTTTGAAAGGGCAGAAATGTATGAAAAAGAGGCATCTTGATAGATGGAAAATTTTTTAGCATGTCTCAAAAATGAAATTATAAGACCACCCATGAGTTAAAACCTTATACTCTTTGTCTATATATCCTTCTTACTCCTGAATCAGTTAATTCTACTTCTGTGACCTTAGAGATAGGATAGTGGCTGAGAGTATTTCTTTGGAGTGTCTGAATTCTGGTTTCTTCACTTACCAATTGCATGGGAAATTTATCAACTTCCTCAAACATCAGTTTTCCTGTTAAATAGTAGTAATCTTTACCTCATAATATTATCAGGATTAAACAAAGCAATGCATACAAAATGCTTAATATAGCACCTGACATATAGGAAGCCCTTAATATATATATACTATTATTTGCTTTATGATGGTGCAATATGCATAACAAGAAATTTACCATTTTAACCATTGTAAGTGTACAGTTCTCTGGCATTAAGTACATTCATATTGTTGTGCAACCATCACCACCATTCATCTCCAGAACATTTTTTTTTTTTTTTAAAGTGAAGGAGATTTTTTTTTTTTTTTAAAGATTTTATTATTTCCTTTTTCTCCCCAAAGCCCCCCGGTACATAGTTGTATATTCTTCGTTGTGGGTTCTTCTAGTTGTGGTATGTGGGACGCTGCCTCAGCGTGGTCTGACGAGCAGTGCCATGTCCGTGCCCAGGATTCAAACCAACGAAACACGGCCGCCTGCAGCGGAGCGTGCAAACTTAACCACTCGGCCACGGGGCCAGCCCCCCATCTCCAGAACATTTTCATCTTCCCAAACTAAAGCTCTGTACTCATTAAACAATAACCCCCCAGTCTCCTTCCCCCCTAACCCCTGGCAACCATCATTTTACTGTCTTTATAAATTTGCCTTCAATATACACTGCATATAAGTGGAGTTATGCAATATTTGTTCTTTGGTGACTGGCTTATTTCACTTAGCATCTTGTCTTCAAGTTTCATCCATGTTGTAGCATGTGTCAGAATTTCCTTTCTTTTTAAGGCTGAATATTATTCCATTGTATTAATTCATATGTAGTATTGTTATAATGGTCAAAGAAAGCTCTACTGAAGCCATTGCAAAGATGTTATTTCATTTACTCACTGGCCAAGACGCAGCTTCAGTGGCGATCACCATCTCTACTACTCATATGATAAGAAATGTAGGCTTCTAATTTTAGAGTAAAATCTTAGGACCACCTTTGAGTCCTTTTCTCCACTAGTGTTTATAAAGTCCCTGTTACGATACACCTCACTTTCTTGAAGGCAAAGAATGACTTTATTAATAGGAGCAAGACAAACATTTTTGTGCTCTGATATGCAGGCAGGAGGAGGAAAGATTTGGGGGCAAAGAAGTAGAGAAAATTTTGAAAAGGAAATCTGAAATTTAGTTTTAGAACAAAAATAAGAACAAGGGAAGGAGGAGGAAGATCAGATAGGAAGAACAGGGCAAGCTTCTGGGAGAGAATGTATTATCCACATATGGTCGCACCAATATATCTTCCATCCCACATGCTGTTCTTACAATGTGGTGTTGACACTCCTCCATCAAGAGGTGGGGTCTCTTTCCCCACTCCCTCAACCTGGGCAGAACTTTGTAAATACCTCAACCAACAGAATATGATGAAAGTGACAGGATGTGACTTCTGAGCCTTGGTCAAAAAAAGCATTACATGCTCCACCTTGGATCACTTAAGCAGCCCTGTGGAGAGGCACTGAGGCCCCCAGCCTCAAGCCAGCACCAACTTGCCAGCAGAATGAGTCAGCCACCTTGGAAGGGTATGTTCCAGCCCCACTCAAGCCTTCCAGTTTTCATATGACTGAAGACCCAAGGGACATATTACCACAACATTATGAGACTCCAAGAGAGAACCGCCCAGTTGACATCTTCTCAAACTAACAAAAACCACGAAAAATAGGTATGTGTTGATTTAATCTACTAAATTTTGGGGTATTTTGTTATGCAGCAATTGATAACTAAGATGGTTACCTTCTCTTACCATTCATCGTCACACAATGATGGGCGTGAAGCAAATGTTATTTTGAGAAGGCTTAGAGGTACCCGAAGGGGTGCAGGCATTCATGCAGGCAGGGCCAGGGCAGGCCAACTTTCAAGTCTTTTATTTCCATGAATACATCACAGCCAGGTGAAAGTGGGCAGCTAGAGTCTGAAGTGAAATATTTAGCTTCAGGAATTTATGGCCTGTTCGTTGGACCATCTGCATACACAGACTGTTTAAAGAATAGGCAAAAATGTATACTTACACATTCAACAGGTATCACTATGCTCAGCAAGGAAGAGCATGTCTTAGTTCAACTGGAGAGGAGATTCTTCCTAAGGTGTTCTGATATTTTTCCTTGGTCCTTAGGATACAGAGGCCTCCACCTTCTCAAAGGTGCCAGCTCACAAACAAGTTTAATAATGGTTCCTACAACCCCTCAGGAACATTTGGACCCTTCTTTTGAAACAGTTCTAGAACCTTTCTCAGTCATTGAGTGTCCTGAAGAAGGGGACAGTGTGACGAAAGAGTTGAGCAGCGGGAAGGGCTTTGGCCTTGGGGTCGAGATTTGGATTCTAGTCTTGATGTGTTCACTGATACTGAGTGTGACCTTCAGCAAGTCCCTTGAACTTCTGTAGTTTCTACTCTGTGAAATAAGGAGACTTCAATCCAGCATCTGAAGATTTTTGCCGCTCTATGACTTTATGATTTAGAAAATTTCCTAGTGATGAAATGTCTCCCCAGATAATAACTATGTCTGTTCATTAAATGTATCTATACACACTGGGGCATATTTCAGCAAACTTCTAGAACTCAAGAGTAAATGGCATTCAGGAACACTGAACAATTGAATCAATTAAAAAACACACAATCACACTTGTAGTTAAACAAAAGAATGTTTTGCTGAAAGCCTTTCAGTTTTTTGTTTATAAATACCCGCGTGTCATATCATTGCTGGAATAGAATTTGTACCTTGTGCTTAGTGCTAGAATACAATTATATTTCTGTTCTATTTCCCTTGTATATCATTTACCAACTGAAAACTTGAAGTCAGCAATCCCTGTGTTTCTCCCTTCCACGTCTCCACCTTGAGCAATTTATGTTCAGGTAGCGTTGCTTCTGGCTCAGCCTACCTGAAACAACGCCTGGCTAGGTTTGTCTGTTTGGTGTCAGCCTTGACTGCTTAGCCAGACTGCCCACTTGTTGGTGGGCTGAATGGGAAGAAAGAAGGAAATGTGAATGATGGGCTCACTCTTGCATTCAGTGGTAATGCTGCACCTGAGCAGTAATGAAATTAAGAATGACTGGTATTCTGCATGTTAGAGGACTGTGGGATACTGTCTTAAATGCCTCATCAGAACAAATCTGTACTGCACACCAGACAGACATGAAACCAAGATTTATTAAAATACCCTTAGCATATTTACAATTGCAAGCCACGAACGCAGTTCTCTGCAAATTCCAAAAAATAGAGTTCTATCTCTTAAATTAACAGAGGTATCAACAGATTAGGATAATCTATCACAGAGATAGAATTCTTTGAGTAGACAACTGATGTTTTCTAACCAATATATATTATGTACAAAAATACACTTGATGTGATGACCAAGTAGAGTCAAGGAGGAAAATATATATATTTACACACACACATATTTTCATTATGTACAAATCAATATTGGTTCCTTCATCCTTTCTTTTTAAAAATAAATACTTCATTTGGTTGCAAATGACATTTACAAATTCAACTAAAAAGCATTTCTGAGCTTTGACAAAATTAAATATGCAAACAAATTAGAAATACATATTTTTAAAAATTTAAAGGGAAAAATACCTGAATCCAATTAGCTTATTACATTAAAAAATATCCAAAAGCACGTAATGTAAGTTTTCATGTCTTTAAAGTGCCTTCTCGTTTCTCAAACTGTCTTCAATATTGCTTAAAATCCTTTAAGATTACACCTACAAATTGGTATAATAATTAATTAAACAGAAAAGCCAAGGTTTTTCCAGATCAAACGGTTGACTAGGACATTCTTATACTTTGCTGTTAAGCACTTTCAAGAGTGTAATAGCTACTCTTGATCTGAAAATAACCACACATTGTCAACATCCTGATCCAGATTCGTGTAGATGTTTGAATCATGAGTAGCAGTAAGAATGGAGCGGCAATGAAAAGTGTATGATTCAAAATGCTTGCACAGAATTAATTTGCCCGGCAGCACAGAAAAGTTACTTGAGATTCAAAAATTTAGTCTGATGCATCGTAGCTGGTGACCCAGACTGATTTATATTTTATCAAAAGAATGGTTCCTAATTAGACAGTTTTAAAGTAAAAATCTATGAGAAATCGAGAAGGACTACAACAACCCTCCCCTGGAACTTCTTAAAATAAAGTAGAAGAAAATGAAAAAGAAATGTATTTTCCATCTCTTTTATGGATTTTTCCCTCTTTGCCTAAGTGATGAGGTGACGCTGACATTAACAAGAGGCAGCCACAGCACTGTGTCTCATTTGGTGACAGTGGAGTGTTCTGTCCAAAGGGCTGTGGAACAGAACAAGGGCTCAGGGAGACATTCGGCTGTCTGTGACGGGGAGAGGTGAAAAAAGCTGGGTCTGGGAGAAACTGTAAAGTGAGGAAAAAATAGCCGTGGGGTGTGAAGGAAGGGGAGGCTGAAGCGGAAGTATTGAAAGGAAAAAAGTGAAATAAATGAAGCTAGATGCCAAAATGATATTTGAGAAGCACAGAGAAAACTGGAACGGCCATGGACAACCAATCCCGTGGAAATGAATCTGAAATTTAGAGTTATTAAAGCAAGCACAGGCCAATTTCTTTGGGCTACCTGCTTTTACAGCACACTGTCAGGCACTGACCAATGCAAGACACTGGGCACTCTGATTTACTAATACAGATTCCTTGAGTTTCCAAGGCTGCCCATACCACAACCATGGCAAAAATCACCAGCTCCCTAACAATGCATTATTTCAGCAAAACATTGCACTAGCCTAGTTCAAATTTTCCTTCTCCCCATCTCTTGTTTTTCTCCCTCATCCCATCCCTTGCAATCTCACAAGGCTGAAGGAAGACACATAATTGCACTGATCAAATGCATTTTCGGAAGTAGCGTCCTGGGTGCTGCTAAAAAAATTAAACCCTAACAGAAATGAAATAATTTACATTTCTGTTTGGCCTGATTCCTATTAGGATGCTGACTGATATCACTTAGGTTCTGGGCAAGCAAGCCAGTGATGATTCTCCAGGCCAAAGCACAATCCACTAGATCAAAGGTCAGGGGCACACTGCTTCCTCTCCTCGTCTAAATTAAAACTCAATAATGGGAAAAAGATTACGCTCAATCAACGACATGTTTTCTCTAAAGAATCTCAAAAAGTATTCAATTTCTAATTTTAAAAATTTCTGCCTTATTTTAGGGCTATCATATTGTTTCTTTAAAGAGAAGCCCTTTTTTTCTCAATACTTCTCTCTTTGAAGATTATACATCCTTCTAACAGTAGGGTCATGTTATTTGTGTCGGGAAATTAACAAATTGTAAAATTAATGACTTGGAATAAACCTATCCCTTTGGTAGACCAAAAAAAACCCTATTTGTGTCACCCTGGGCAGACAGGAGAATTGTCACTAGTGTTGTCTCCTCACTCATGGATTTGTTTCCAAAGCAAATGGATGTCTTTGTAGGATTACAGAGAGTGCACTGTCCATGAGGCTGAGACCACCTTCTTTATGCCTTGGTGGTCAGGTTTGAAGAAATAAGATTATAGGTAGGGACAAGTTGCCAAGAAGAAAGGAAAAAATGAGCAATTTATAGTTCACTCAAGCCTATCTAAAATGTAAAGATTTTTAATCTCTTTCTAGTTTCTTACTGGAAAGAGTAGTCCAGTTTTTGTATGGTATATATCCACTTTTGAATACCTCATAGAAAGAAACCTGGAATTCAAAGTCCATCTTAAGAGTTCCCAGAGAATTGTTCATTCCTGAACACTTTTATCATCTGTGTCATGGGGAGGTAGAAAGTAATTTCCCTGTATATTCAGTGGTCTTTGGGACTAGCTTTTTATTTTGGAAAGGCAGACCTGGCAAGCTGACCCAGATGAACAATCAAGAATATATTTGTTTCATGAGACAGGAAGGGAAGAGCGCTCTGGAAGAGAACAATGAAGGAAAGTAGGTACAACTTTGCCAAAGAGATTGATAAACCACTGTGCATGCTTGCCTGAAAACGTCTGATTTCTTACTTTATATGCTAAATATAAGATAACGCATTGGCAGCTCACACCACGTATGGGGAGATATATCCATTCTCTTTTAAGACATTTTTAGTTTCAAAGACAGAGAGTCCCTTGGTGTCTGCACAGGTGAAATTTAGGGAAATGCTCAGGCTACCCGACAGCCTGACTGTGGTAGAAGGTTGTTTACACCATGGAGAAGGATGCCAAATTCTTGGGAGGTGAATTTCTGCTGGAAATTCTGGGTTCATTTGCATTTCACTAGCCCAACGCTATCAAATTTCACACAAAGCATAAAAAAAAAAGCCCAAAGTAGTATTTGGATCAGCTTCTAGAAAAGGAGAGACTGGAGATTCTTAGTACATTTAAAAGAAGATTAAAAAAAGAAAATTAAATGAGCATAGATGGCATGTAGAAGAATAAATTAAAGGCTGTAGCTACCACTTTCATATAAAATATTGAGATTAAGTCAGTCTTCCCCAGATTATAGAATGGAGAAGATAATCATGAACAAGTGCCTCACAGGTGTAATATGCAGGGGTTTATTTGAGTTCTTGATTGAATTGAACTATCTGTCATACCAGAGACCGGACGAACGAGAAGGGAAAGGTCCTCTGTTACTGTTTATCACCAGGCTGGGTGGGAGAGGGGCAGAGGGTGGAGGGGAAATGAATCCAACAAGCTCCATTTGGGGACAGACAACCTACTGAATGAGGCTTGATTTGCTTCTCTAATTCCTTCCTTGGGAGAAACCGCATGGGAGCTTAGATGGAGTTAGCTAGCTGCCATTTTCATATCTTCACACTTCCAAGTAAGTTGCCAATTACACAAATTTCCCAAGTGCTAAGTTTATATCACAGTGTTGATTAAGAGTCTTGGAACAAATAAGGTTACTGAATTGGCTTCAAGTTTGACATGTTAAAACTCTTTTGAATTTACTACTTCGCAGCAAAGTGTTGATCTGGAAGGGTTTGGTAGATTGCCCACTCCTTGGGAGGTGAAATGAAGAACTGTGAAACTAAAATTCAGTGCCTCTAACAAGGTGTCAACAACTGACAGGAGTGCAGAAATGACACAAAATGGGCCTCTCAGTCACACACAGCTATGTAACCAAGCTTAGTTATGCCTGGTTTCAATTGCTAATGGAGTTAGAAATACTGTTACGTGAGCCTACAGGACCCAGATCTGCTGAGGCCTGTTTCTGAAGGTGCTTTTCGTTGAGTGACTTCTGCACCAACAATAGAGAAAGTTCCAAGCAGCTAGACTGTTTATAGCTGGAAAGTGGAAATATACCCAACAAGTTAACTGCATTTTGGAAAGGCCAAAAACTATGCAATCTTTTCAAATAGTATTAGTTTGGCCATGTAGACTTGTTTCTTTTGTGTTGCAGATTTATGATGACAAAGTAGCTGACATAAATGAAAAGTTATTTCTTTATTCAGTACACTCTCTTCAGTTGTAGTGTTCCTAAAGGTAAAATCCTAACACATCAAATGCAGTATTCAAGGTCTTCTGGATGTTCCACACGCATAAACTTAAGAGAGAATCCAGAGTAAGGAAATTTTCATGGTCTAGCATTTCTCCCACTGTATCACACCACGTCTCTCTGTGGCTTTTTCAAAATCAATTGTTCAGAGCAATACTTGACTCTTTCAAATCCACACTCTAAAAATCCCCGGTTTAGGCTATAGTCTCAGCAGGCAGTGGACAGCTCTTACTTCGTCTACACTCATCAGCCTTCACGGCTTTTCAAATTCTTATGTGCTCAGGACTTCTACAACATTGCATTTCACAGTCTGCTCACTTTCTGTGATTCAGGAGTTAAATAATTTGTGGATTGCCAAATCTGCTGATGCTTTTTCTTTCCCTTCTTTCTTTCGGTCATTTTTTTTTTTGATTAGAAGAGGCAAGATCGAAGAAAAATGAAACTCAAAAGAGCTCTTGTTTGCGATTTTTAGATAATAACTATTTCATAAAATTTGATATTTACATCAGCTATTCAGGGGAACAAAAGCTTAATTTTTGGTCTTCTTCCCTACCCTTGCCACAGAAAGCCCCAGATTGGTTTTTATCTTTGTTCCGGGAGGGGACAGTACTACAAAATAGACCAACTGAGAATGTCAGGGAATGAGGAAGTTCCCCTATCAATGGTACAGTCTGGTTACTAGGAAAGAGCCCGCAGGTCTGCATTGCTAATTCCCCTTCACACACTGACGACTGCTCTTCGCTGTGCTGCCATATGCAATGATCTGTGTCAACAACACCAGGCAAGGGGGAAGTAGAAATAGAAATGAGAAAATATAATGTTCAAGAAAGCAAGAAAATAATTAAAATAAAAACTACCCCATAGGAGTCAGAATAATCTATGGAGAGATATGCAATCCCAAGCCAACAAGTAAATCTTTACCAAAAATACACTTACATCTCTTCTGCTATGTCTGATCCTGGCCCTTGGAAGAACCAAGCTGATGATGACTTGATCCTTTTGGAGGTTTCCAATACCACCAAAGAGTTTTATTCCTTCCTTCAGTTTTCCCAGTTTCTCCACAAGCAGCATATGAGCTTCTCATGTAGGAAACGCCTTTTCTTATGGTATTTATGGGAAAAGCAGGTGACTAAGGGACGGCCAGCAAGTATGCAGCTTGTACTGTCCTTACTAGGGGGCATGAGAGGGTCAGAGACCAGCACTCAATGTGGCATTCAATCCCTCAGCCATGTTGCTGATTTGTTCTGGCTAGAACATTTCAAGATGGAATAGCACCACTGGGTTCCTTACTCTCCTTCCCAGATTTCAGAAGTTCTTTCTCCATATTTCCTAGGTACTTGCAGTGAGTGTCTGAAGATACATCAGGGATGTCAATTCAAGGATTCAAAAGGCAACTGTTGGGCAGCAGGTCCGTCACGTGTGACCCCTGCGCCTCCACCATCATTATATTCACCCATTTCTGCTTGGCCACACTCTACCCCCATTCCCACAGGCTGCCTCTTCTTGGGTTAAAAGCCACACAGCTCACCTCCTTCTAACCTGATTTTTGACACCTCACAGGCCTGATGTTTTTATCTAAAGAGTTTATAGCATGCTTTAGTGTAATATCTGATATACTTGTATGCTCAACGATTATGCTAGTTACTCATGCAAGAATCTGAACTACTATCCAACTGTGCCCTTGGTTTTAATGAATTCTTGGCTAGGAAGAGACGATGTTGCTTGTAAGTTAAGGTTTCTCAGAGTCTGACTAGTAAGTCTGGTGTGAGTGGTTAAAAGACAGAGTAGTAATACGGCCACTCTCCATCTAGTTCAGGGAAGGCTGTGGTTAGAACAGCTACTTAAACCCTGCTTGCCTGAAACGCTCAAGCTGCTAAGTGTCACCCCAACTACTTCCTCTCCATGAAAAGTTGCCCTGAACACAAGCTCTACTGCATTTTAGAGGGACCATTTTAAGAGCCTCCAGGTTGTTTCAGATGGCCCACCTTGAACAAACTCTTATGAACCTTCACTAAGCATCAACTTAGAGTAGAAATGAAGGCTATGTCAACAATGTGGTACACGTGTGGACTGGGGAGGGAGCATCCAGACATATAATGCAAGATTCAAACTGGGTGAGAATAATGGGGCTTTTGCCCTGGTGTTTTAATGCACTAACATACTACGTTTGACCAGTCTCACAAAATCATGAGGTTTCCCCAACAGAGGCAGGCAAACTTCACTCTAAAGAGTAAAGAAACAGGTATTTTATGGCCAATTTCTAGTTTGTCCACTAGGATGAAATTCAACTTGGGCTGTATATCTCTAACTCTCAAATTAAATGTTTCTACTCATTGTTCACCAGCATTGGTTCCCTGAGAGCTTGTTCTTGCAGGGTTACATGGCCAAAGTAACAGTCCTATTTACTTTCAGTGATTTTCTTGTGAGCATCCGACTTAGAGACCTGAAATGGGCTATGTGACTGCCCTGAAAGCCATCTTGGGCTCTCTCCCATCAAGTGTATGAGACCCAGAAGGATCTAGACTTGTACTGGTCTCACTGAACTCAACGTTGATTCCCAAGGCATGGGCAAAACAAGCACTTTTCTTTTGCACAACAATACTAAGAGGAATGTCAGAGTGCAAGATGGCTGTAAGTGGGATTTATTTTAAATTCTTGAATTCCTTAGATTTTCTTCATGGTTAAATGAAAATGAAGAGGAACAATACAAGAAAGTAGTATGAAAAGCTCCTTGCTCAAAAGCACCTTCTTTTAGCCATGTAAGTTTCTTATCAGCTTTTCTATTTTGCTTTTCATCCTTTTACTTTAAATTGAAAAAACAAAAAAAAAAAACACCAACCCAAGCATGTTACCATATTCCTTTCTTTTGAATGGTTAGAAAAGATGGTTAGCACCTGCATGAATATGGCTTCCGTGACTTGATTTGATCCTGACTATGCAACCTTGATTCCCAAGATGGGCATTATATTAGGATATGGTGCTGTTTTAATTAGCAGAATCTATTATGGGGTCCCTGAGGGGGCTGATGACTGGCAGGCATGTCCTGGGTAGACACTCAGGAACCTGGCAAGTTGAAAGCTTCTGGGAAGATGCTGGGGCAGGGGGTAGGCTACACGTGGCAGACAGATCCTGAGAGTCTGAAGGTTCTTGCTCATCTCTCGACTGTTCTCTACCAATTCGAGGAGAAAGTTTGGATCTCTCTCCCTTCGAGGCCAAAACCTGATAGTCTCTGATCCTACTCACAACTCACCCCCAGTTCCCTTTATTCTTCCTTCATAAGATAGATTTGAAGAGTGATGGCTTACAGAAAAAATGTCAGGGGAGAGGTCCAAGGTGGTTTCTCTTGTGACTCAAGGGGCAGTGGTCTTATGGGCTCCCAGGGTCGGAAAAAGCTGCCTATGCATGACAGTCCACTCAAAGTAGAATATTAATGTAATCATCTTCTTTTCATTTGGACGTAGAGAACTTTCTTTTCTGCCCTTAATTTCTTCAACATCAAAGACTCCTGGCTTCACTCTCTGTACACGCCTGTCAGTCAAGGTCGCGATAAAAGGCTCTGAGCAGCATTTGCTCTCCTGTCTGGAAGCTGCCTTGTGGGGTTGGCGGGAGAGGCCCAGCCACTCACAGACCCTGAACAAGACGCAGAGCTCAGCTGCATGTCGACATGGCATTAGCCGTTCATGAACGATATGAAATGTGAAATGTGCTCTGTCCCCGGGTTACTTGTCCAAGCAGGTTCTTTGACCCCAAGTCTGTCCCTGCTCAAGTATCACTGTTTCTTCTGGGAATGAGGTGGAGAATCCCTGTTGGTTTAGGAAAACACAAAGAACTGATATAAAAACAAAAGAATGTGTCTTGCTTAATGGCTGACGTCAACTCCTTGTATCATAACACATATTTAACCCCTCCTGACACCCATGTATTACTCCATTTTCTGTTCTTTCCATTACATGAACAACAAAATAACCATTCCTCCAGTCTGGGAAATACATAATCTTGGACCTCTTTAAAAATAGTTTTGGTAAGTTTCAACAGTTTTGGTGAAAGATGCTTCTGGATCTTGTTCCAATAGGATCAAAATTAAGACTAATAATCAAACCAGCAGTGTGTAAAGACCAAGGCTTGAACTCTCTCAAGGCAAATGTCATAAAAGATCCTTTTCTTCTGTCACAAGTTTACATGTATCAAGTTTTGGTTAGAAAGCTTCAAATCTCCACTTCTAAAAAGAATTGGAAAATCTTGGTATTCTTTCTGGTCTTATGAGGGAGTGGACTTTGCACCTCCACAAGAAACAATTATCAAATACTCCGGCAATGCTCCCTCAAACAGCTTTTATTGTTCCTGTGGCTTAATAAGGGACTTTCTTCAAGAAGGCATGGGGTGCTCACTGTGGGTGACCTCAGAAAGAGATGAGCAAAACAGACATTTAGTAACATATCTTTCAAGAACTTCCTGCAGCAGTGATGTTGGAAAGGCTCATGCAAGGTACTACGTCTCCGCTGTCATCCTTTTCACGTCTCTGCGTTAGTTGGTGGTCACACTGGCTTCCTTCTGACGCAGTCTTTCTTTCTGTTGTTTAAGAAAAAAAAATGAGTTTATCATCAATCCCTTAATTTTTCACCTTTCTCAGATTTTGATACATTTCTCAAATTTTGGTCTAGACTGTTGAAGAGTTGTACCAAACACCTTAGAAAGGAGAATATCTGTATCCCTCTTTCCTGAAACCCTCATTACCTGCCCCTCTCAACCTATCCCTCTTACTCTTCAAAAAACAAACAAAAAAGAATAGCCAGCCAATCAACCAACTATACCCATCAAAAACACCGACTTTCACCATGCCAGGTTGCTCTCTTCTGTTCTCTTTTTCTGTGGCAAAGGTCCTAACTTTGTAGTGTTACTCAAAGACTCCTCCTACCTGCCTCCTCAGCCTACTAAGGGAATTAGGAAAACTCAGGAAATAGTTTCTAGGAAGTCTAGATATGAAAAAATCACTGTTTCCAAGTTGAATGTATTTACATGTGATCAACCCGGGAGAAGTGAACAAAGGTATTGCAGGATGGCAGATGACCAGACTTAGTCTCTGCAGAAGGGCAGGAGCTCCCATTTTGCCACCGATGTTCTGCTCTGATCTCCCTGAGCTTCGTTCTCAGGGACAACCACCTAAAGGGGAAGGACATGGAAGTCTGCTGGCAAGATATAAAAACAAACAATAGTATGCAAGACAGAAACAGACCCTCACTGTTTCTAGGACTTTAGAAAGTAACTACATTAAGCATAGTAAGGACGGCGTGTCTGCTTTTGGGGATGGCAAACAGAAGGCTAAAAAAGAAATGGGAGAAGTATATACCTCTGCAAAGAGCAGAGGCAGCAAGAAGCCCCTTGAGAATGATCCTCAGCTGTTTGTGATCTATGAGATGTGACATCGCAGTGAATTACTAAATTGTCCTAGATGTAAACTTGAGTTGATGAGTTTGTATCCCATCCTTGACTTGTGAAATTGAAGCAGGAATCAGTTCACAACCTCTTCCATAATTTCCACCCAAACAAACAAAAAAACAACAAAACCAATAGGTTGAGGATCACAATTGGGAACTCGGTCACAGTGGAGGTCAAGGTCAACCTATAGAAGAATGTGGGAGTAAACCCACTGTTTTCCCTTTGTCTAGAGGGCTCAGTCCATTCTCTCTGCCTCTGGAAATAAGGTTTGGTTGTAAAAGTTAGGATAGAGGCTCAAATAAGAGGTCTGGAGAAAGGGAGATGGGTTGATGAAGGAGGAAGACAAAAATTAGGGTTGAGCCACCAAAAATCATACATATGAGTATAATGAATGCACCGTCAAATGGGATGTGTCCATTCAGATGGGGCCATGTGCACTAACTGCAGCTTTGCCTGGCCAAGCTGTATGGCCTTGACTTCTCTGTTTCTCACTCATCAACCTCACTCAACATTCATTTAGTTGCTGATGGGGTTGTCATGAGAGACAGCAAGGTCAATCAACAGAAATAATCTCACTTTATAACTTAGACCCCACTGAGATCGCCAAAGGATTTAAAGCAGCTGGCAAAAAGAACTGGTAACAAAAGGATAAAATAAGTAGCTGTGGGATAGCAGGGCACAGGTAAGGAAGGGTCTGAAATCAAAGAGGGGAGAGCGATACCCTAACTTGCCATGCAGTGTCATTCCCCAGGGCAGGCTCAAACAAAGCTGCTGAAATTCATAACAGCAAGAAAAAGAGCTAACATTTATCAAAACTCTTATCACTTGCTAGGCACTTTACATGTCTCTTCTCAGTTTCCTCAAAATAACCCTAAAGCCAAGGTAATATTATTTCCCTCTTTTCACTGCAAAGAAACAAAGTGACTTCTCTAAGGTTTCACAACTAGTAAGTGGCTGAGCTGGGATTTGAACCCCGACCCCTTGGGTTCCTGACCATTTAGCTATTCCCACCATTGTCTGTAACCAACTGGTGGAGATTCATCATGATGCTTACTGAAGCCAGGACTGTGAAGGGCAACTCACCCTCAACGCCAGGAATCCCACCCATGCTGCTAGTTTCTAGGACAGGGAGAGATGTCAGGGGAAGCAGAGTCTGGTCTTGATTTTTGGGATCCATTTGTGAAGTGATCCCGGGTAGGCTGTATCTTTCTGGATCTCAGTTTTCCCAATTACCAAAAGAGAATAATCCTTGCCCCTTTCTTGAATAGGGAAAAGGAACTGCTAAGGGTGAAGTAGCTCCAAGATTTCAGGAGAAAGGGGCTTTGGGATGAGTGGGCTCACAGCATGGGGTGGGGTGTGGAAGGGCAAGTGACTGAATTTGGTTTATTAGGAAACGATCTTTGTTGGGTTTGCTAGGAGGACACACGAAGACGCGTTCTGCTCCCCACTCCCTCCTCCCCATATTCTTCCTCGCCATATGCTGCTCAGGGATGGGAACTGAGATACCACCTGTCATCCTCTGAGTTTTATCCTTTAAGTTGAGACACACTCCTGGGCGCACCTCAGTTACAATGAAAAATCTCGAGGTTATGTTGAAAATGCATCTCACCAGACTAGCCGTGGGGTTGATTTTCTTTGTCTCCACTTTCTTCTCTGATGTCAACTTGCTGACTGATTCCTGAGCTATTTTTAACCTGAAATTGAAACAAGGGGAGGGGAGAGGAGAAAAAGAGAGGGGGAGGAAAAGGAAAAGAAGAAAAAGAAGAGGTCAGGTTAAACAGAAATCCCAATGCTTCTGAATTAACCAATCAGTGGTTTGAAAATATGTGACGGTTTTTCAATGCTTTTCATTACTAAATTCAAACTCTAATTAGGTATGAAGGCATCTCTTCTGAATTATCAAAATGAATTTCCTTCACTGGTTGAGAGGATCATCTAGATGACTTTAGGAAGTCCACGTTTTTGTGACCAACGCAGGAGTTTCTGATCTGTGGAAAACTAGGTACGTTCACGTTACTCTCAGTGTGCACTTCAAAGCTATATGGCTTGTGATCTACTCAGCATATAATATGGAGACAATTTTGAAAACTTAAGTTTTAAGAAAACATATGAAAGCTAAAAATATTAAAATGCACCAATTCACATCACGAAAGTGAAAATACAGCCCACAGAATGGGAGAAAATATTTGCAAAGCATATATCTGACAAATGAATTGTATTCAGAATACAGGAAGAACTCTCACAACCCAAATAAAAAGGCAAATTACCCAATTAAAAAATAGGCAGTGGATTTGAATAGACATTTCTCCAAAGACGACACACAAATGGCCAATAAGCGATGAAGAAACGCTCAACATCATTAGTCATCAGGGAAATGCAAATCAAAACCACAATGAGACACCTTTTCACACCACTTGGATGGCTAGAATCAAAAAGAAAGAAAATAATAAGTGTTGGAGGTGAGAAATTGGAGAAATTGGCACCCTCATACATTGCTGTTGGGATTGGAGAATGGTGCAGTCACTTTGGCAGTTTCTCAAAATGTTAAACATAGTTACCATATGACCTAGCAATCCCACTGCTAGGTACACAAATACATGAAATGAAAATTTATGTCATATAAAAATTTGCATAAGAATGTTTATAGCAGCATTATTCATAACAACCAAGTGTAGAAACAGCCCAAATTTTCATCAGCTCATAAATAGACAAAATGTGGTATGTCAACAAAATGGAATATTACTAGACCATAAAAAGGAATGAAGTGCTGATACATGCTACAAAGTGGATGAACCACAAAAACATTAAGTGAAAAAGGCCAGTCACAAAAACTCACATATTATATGATCACATTTATCTGAAATGTCCAGAACAGACAAATCCACAGAGAAAGAAAATAGAGTAGCAATGCCAGGGACTGTGGGCTGGGGAGAAAGGGAGTGACTGCAAATGGGTAAGGGGTTTCTCCTAAAATGAGGTAGTGTTGATGGTTGCACATCCTGTGAATATACTAAAAATCAATGAATTGTACACTTTAAAAGAGTGAATTTTACAGTATGTGAATTATATCTCAAGAAAGCTGTTATTAAAAAATTCATCAATTCAACATCATATTTCTTATCCATTAGATTGGCAAATCTAATAGACAATATCAACTGTTATTGAGGATGTGGGAAAATGGAACTGTCAAAGAGTACACTAGGGAGTGTAAACCAGTACAGCTGGCTTTGGCAATATCATGTAACATTGAAAACACATGCACCTTATGAGCCATCAATTCTTCTTCTAGGGAGAGACCCAAAAGAAACTTCCATACAGAGACACAGGGCTTTCTCTGTGGCAATATATGCAACAGGGAAAAACTGGAAACAACCTAATGATTAGGTTCAATAGAGTAATGGATAGGTGATAATAGCAAATAATAGCAGCCGACATTTAGGGTGCTCACTCCATGCCAGGTACTGTTCTATGTGTTTAATTTGAATTTAACTGTTTAATTCTCACGACAACTATGTGAGATAGAAACTTTCACTATTCCTATTTTACAGGTCGTAACCACCATGCAATGCTGCTTCTATAGTATATTCATTTAATGGAATTATGGCATAGTCATGAAAAGGAAGAAACTAGATCTACCAATTCAACAATTATGGATATCAGAAACAGGATAGCGAGAGAATAAAGAATTCTGCAGAGTGATACAGTGAAGAGCCCATCTGGCATGATGGTCAAGCGCTCAGGCTTCAGAGCCTGACTGTGGGATTAATTCTCAGCCCCACCACTTATTAGCTATGTGACCCTGGGCAAGTGACCTCTTTACACACCTGGATTTCCTAAAAGAGGATATAATAACAACAGCACCTGCTACATAGAATCTTTGAAAGGATTGGGACAGTACAGCTCCAGGCACAGTGTAATCAGTCAGTAGATGTTTGCTACTATTATTACTATGCATGCAATATGCTACACTGTATATATGTTTGTAAATAGTACCCACAAAACAATATTGCTCACAGATGCACACATGTGTATAAATATACAAGCATCTACTTATATTTATATACAGACTGGAAAGATGTTCTGGTTTCACGATAGCAGTTATCACTAGAAAGATGGAAAAAGAGCAAAGAGTATATCAAATAGAATTTTATTTTCATTTATAATGCTTCAGTTTTCTTATTAAAAACTCTTAAAGAATATGTGGCAAAATGTTAACAGTTAATTCTACATGGTGGGAATATGGATGTGTTATATTATTCTTTGCATGCTTGTTTAAAAAATTTCTTTTGTTTTTTGAGGAAGATTAGACCTGAGCTAACTACTGCCAATCCTCCTCTTTTTTTGCTGAGGAAGACTGGCCCTGAGCTAACATCATGCCTGTCTTCCTCTGCTTTATACATGGGATGCCTACCCCAGCATGGCTTTTGCCAAGTGGTGCCATGTCTGCACCCGGGATCTGAACCGGCGAACCCCAGGCCGCTGAGAAGCGGAACCTGTGAACTTAACTGCTGCGCCACTGGGCCGACCCCAAAATTTTTTTTTAATTATTTTATTCATTTATTTTTGCTTGAGGAAAATTTGCCCTGAGCTAACATCTGTTGCCAATCTTCCTCTTTTTGCTTAAGGAAGACCAACCATGAGCTAACATTTGTGCCAATCTTCTTCCACTTTATATGTAGGATGCCACCACAGCATGGCTAACCACTGGTGTAGGTCCTCGCCTGGGATCCAAACCCATGAACCCAGGCTGCTGAAGTGGAGCGTGCGAACTTAACCACTAGGCCACGGGGCTGGCCCCTTAAAAGATTTCTTAAAAAGTATTTTAAAAATATTAAATATTTAAAGATCCACCGATTCATAGACATTTTTAAAAAAATAAACATGCATTTTCTTCAGGGCTTCAAAAAGCTTTTGCTCAACATTGATCACATATTTGCTTAATGTTGTAGTGGCTGAGTGCCTCAGCTCTTTACTTAGCTAATTTTACACAATTTACTTAAAACACACATCTAGTAATCCAATCTCTGTGTCCACATGTACAAGTTTGTTTCAATTAGTTTAACATGCTGACTTGTGCAACAGGAAAGAAATAAAAATGAGACAAAGATGAGCAACGATTTATAAAGCCCAAGAAATACATCTGCAAAGCTGCCCTGAGAACGGGCACTTCTCAACACTGACCTGGGTCTGAGGGTGTACAACCACACTGCACACTAAACTTTTCTGTTTGCAGCAGTAACTATGACTATACTTACACAAGAAAAGAATGCATTACAAGGATCAAATGCAGGTCAGACTACATGGGAGACTCTGACTGTTAAGGGATTTGCAAACCAAGATGCTGCTGCTGTAAATGAGGCCACAACTTGGAGCATCTACTCTTCTTGGCTTCTCTCCTGCAAGATTCGTTTTCAAAGAGAACATCTATCAGTAACTCTTTAATATCAATTCCAATGGAATGGTTTGAAATTACTATTGTTCTCTGGCCCCCCTAACTTTCAGAGAACTTTCTGGGGGTCACCTTTTGCTTCAGTAGTTCCTTTTTCACCTTAGAATTCTGGGCTCTTCTTTCAGAGTTGGTCTTCTACCGTGCTCCCACTCAGCATCACTTTCCCCAATTCCCGCATCCCTGCAACCACGTTTCATGTTTGCTGGATATCTGGGGTGGTGATGGTGGTTGGAGATACAGAGGCAGAGGGAATGGGAGCCAACCTAAGGTCCTATCCCCACTGCAAACCTTTTCGTACTAGCCAGTGTCTGTTGTACAGACTACAGGAAGTCATATATACCCCAGGCTTCCCAGGACAACTGTGACCTCAGCGGTACTATCCTGCTCTTCTCCCAATAGTCTCATCAATTATTATGCCCCCCTTTCACAGGGCACTCTTCAAAATCATAAAGGATTGCAAGAAGCCATAGCTTGGTGGTAAGCAGCTTCAGCATCAGGTAGGCCGGATTCCAATTCTAACTCTGCCAGTTACTAGAAAATTTGGAGCAAGTTAATTAACTTCTGTAAACTTCAGTTTCCTTATCTATAAAATGGAGATTAATATCAACCACATGGTATTATTGTGAGGATTAAATGAATGCATATATGTAAAATATCTAGTATACCTGGTATATAGCAAGTGATCAATAAAGGATAATCACTATGGAATCTTCCATCACAGAGATCTTTAAGAATCCATGGTAAAGTTTCTGACCATAAATGAAACAAGTAGAGTTATTAGCTAGTTCCTATCTTGCAGTAATATCATTTAGATGAGTCCTGAAAGCAAACCAAATCAACTACTGCTATTAGCCCGAGATTTAGCAAACCAAAGTATTCACCTTAACTTTTCTGATCTAAACACGGAATCTGAAAGTCATATCCAGAAGGTAAACTTTGATGCAGGTATGACAAAAACTTCTCAAGCAAATAAATTCAAAAAACTATGTAAACTTCAAAACAAAGGTTGCAGCTACTTCCTCACATTTTTTTCTTAAGTTTCCTAGAAGTATTATAAATAAAATTTATGTATTTATTTATTTATTCCTCAAGATTGGCACCTGAGCTAACATCTGTTGCGAATCTATTTTTTCCTTCTTTTTCTTCTTCTCCCAAAAGCCCTCCCCCCACCCACCCAGTACATAGCTGTATATTGTAGCTGCAGATCTTTCTAGTCAGAGTATGTGGGATGCTGTGTCAACATGG